TCGGCAAAGCCCACTTTGCCGAGTGCCCCCATGGCACTCGGCAAAATATATATATTTTTTGATTTTGGGCCCAAATTTTTTTCTGGGGCCTTGTGACAGTATTTTAAACTCTATTTTAAAATTTGGGGCAATTTTGAATTTTTTTGATATATTTCATTAGTTTATTTCATTTCGTCGAATTTTTCGGGATATTTCAAATTTGAACTGCAGGTATTTGGCATCCGACGTCACAAACTTACTCGAAACCTTCTCAATTTTTTACCACAGCCTCCACATGCGATAACACGACGCCTCGACAAGTTTCGTGGTTTTCGGACTTCGTTTGCATTTTATATAATTTAAAATCATATTTCCGGCAAGTACCTCGACATGTTACGTCAACGAGATGCTCGAGATTTCATGTGAGTTCCTGGATACGGCCTAAACATACCCTAAATATCATGAGTACCAATTTTTGGATGACCAAAGTCCATTATTCCATGTACCTGCAGTTCAAATTTGAAATATCCCGAAAAATTCGACGAAACGAAATAAACTAATGAAATATATCAAAAAGTCAAAATTGCCCCAAATTTTAAAATAGAGTTTGAAATACTGTCACAAGGCCCCAGAAAAAAATTTGGGCCCAAAATAAAAAAAATATATTTTGCCGAGTGCCATGGGGGGCACTCGGCAAAATATGATTTTCAAAAATAAAAAAATTTGTCGAGTGCCTGGCGCTGGCACTCGGCAAAATAAGTTTTAAAAAATTAAATTTTTTTTACCGAGTGCCCAAGGCTTACACTCGGCAAAATATGTTTTTAAAAAATAATTTTTTTTTGCCGAGTGCTTGGGTATGGCTCTCGGCAAAATAAGTTTTAAAAATAAAAAAAAAATTGTCGAGTGCCTATCTCTAGCACTCGGCAAAATATTTGAAAAAAAAATTTGTCGAGTGCCATGGGCTGGCACTCGGCAAAATATGTTTAAAAAAAATTGCCGAGTGCCTAGGGCTGGCACTCGGCAAAATAAGTTTTTAAAAATAAAAAAAAATTGCCGAGTGCCAGCCGTTAGGCACTCGGCAAAATTTGACGGCAGGTGGCCGCCGTCATGGGCTGGCCACCTTTTGCCGAGTGGGATCGGCACTCGGCAAAGCCCAGTTTTACCGAGAGCCAGGCTTTACCGAGTGTCTGGCACTCGGCAAAGCTACCTTTGCCGAGTGCTTTATTTTGCCGAGTGCGGCACTCGGCAAAATATTGCTTTGCCGAGTGCCCCGATAAAAAGCACTCGGCAAAGTCTCAGGCACTCGGCAAAGTCTAGTTATCTAGTAGTGATAATATGGAAGTACTTGCAACTTACTATTTTGGACAAATGAAACATATATATGATGGAAGCAACTGCAACAATATATTCGTTTTGATTTTGAGGATTGCAACATATGATGTAAGTACTTGCAACATGAAACTAATGCTAGTTCAACATGGTCAAATACATAACAGAAATGGCACAGCTCACGTAGTTCCAAGAAAACTCATGTCATGCGATACTACACATTCACACGTATCGTGCACATAACAGGATCCTGATAATAAGGAACCCCAGCTATAATAAATAGAGTATAACTAGATTAACGATACTATGACTAATGAGATGGTCTAGCAAAATCAACAATGCCAGATGATGAAGTCAGATGTGGATGTTTTGTTCCTTGACGATAGGAGGACCACGCGACACAAGCTTCCTGACATCATATACCGAGAAAAGGACAAGACGAAAATTAAAATGATGGGAAATATGAAAGGAACATATCAATTGAAAGAAGAAAAGGAAAAAAAAACACAAATATAGGTATGCTCAAAGGTAATGTTCACCTTTATTTTTCTCATCCGAAGACTCAATTGAAAGCATTTCATACAACATACACATGACATTTTACACTGTCAAATATTTATTTTGACCGAGGACGTAACCACTCCAACACCCTCTCATTGTGACCCTACCCCCTCAGCCTATATAAAGGAGGGTAGGGATCTCGTGATCGAGATCCATTTCATTCCATCTACTACGTATCTAGGAGCAACAACCTCTGTAACCGAACATATGAATACAAGAATTAGTTGCTAGGCATTGCCGGAGCTATATCATCCGACACCTTCTTGCGTCGCTTCTTGGTCATTCAGTCCGCACGTCTACATCGTTGGTTCGTCATTGCCACCACAGATAGGGACGCCTCCGCCGACTTCTTTCATCGTTGGTGCACCTCGCGCACCTCGCGCGTATTTAGTCTGTACAACCGATTATAAGCGATCCACCCGGCTCCAGTGATGTCCACCGCAGCATGCAGACACTCTATATGTACCAAGAGTCTCAATGCAATATGATCCATCCATTCATACTAGTATTCCCTTTCTTCTTTCAGGCATAACCAAGCCTGTTGAACTACTGCTAGGAATTCCTCAAAGTTGCACCAGATGTTCTCGAACCTGAAGCTCAGCCTTGCCCAGGGATCAGTGTTGAGCGACAGGATTAGGGGTGCGTGATCCGAGCAGTTCGTTGAAAGGCACCTTAGACACGAATGCGCGGTCAATTCGCTCCACGGTCGGCCTTCTCCGCTCATTAATCCAGGTATACAGCCTTCCTGACAGATGTAGCTCAACCTGCTGCAAATCATCCAGTGTTCAACGCTCGGCTGCAAAGCAGCCCATAGATGACGTCTCCACGCGACTATGGCACCCAGGGAAAAGACCCACCACAATCAACACAGTATAGTCAAAGTCTCCGCGTATGATGAGTGTTTCGACTGTTGAGCTTTGACCCCACTTCTTCATCAACACCTTTTTGTAACCGTCTTCTCCGGCTTGTTGACTCTCATGTTTGTCTTTGCCGCCAGCAGCCTGTCGCTCCGCCTGGGAACGACGCTGTCATTGCGCTGCCGTGAGATGCCCAACCTTGAGCTGGTTTGGTTAAATGAACTCTTGGACTGTGCCAGCCCGCATCCCCTGTGACGCTCGCATGCATTCGCCGTTGTGCTTGTGACCTGTTCTTCCCTGCAAATTTGGTACCCCCTCCTGCACCGATTCCTTCTGCAAAAGAAGGCAAGGATCCGGCCGGCCCCTCCACCCCATTTTGCTTTGGCTCAGCAGTAGGCGACACCACAATGTTGGCCTCTACCAGCATGTCACGATCCGGCCGGCTCAGAACGACTCAGCTTGCTTACGGCTAATTTCCAGCTCCGTGGCTTACCCAGCGGCCGGCATTCAAATTTGTCTCCAGCTGCAAACATTTGGTGCGTTGGTGGCGGGCCAGCTAGCGCCTGGGACCATGGCCAGTGCAGGCCCAGCTTTGCGCGTGTTCAGTTCCACCCAAATTTCCAAAAAGTGCTACAGTACCTATCACATCGAATGTTTACGGCCTGTGTATGGAGCATTAAATGTAGACGGAAAAAAAAAACTAATTGCATAGTTTGGTGAAAAATTACGAGACGAATGTTTTGAGCCTAATTAGTCCATGATTGAACACTAATTGCTAAATAAAAACGAAAGTACTACGATAGCCCAAAATTCTAAATTCTTGAAACTAAACACGCTGACCGGCCGGCCAGCTTCTGTCCATCAGTCCACATCAAATGGAGGACCAGCTCAGCAAATGCTGACCATAATGTGGTTGATGGAGGTGAATAAAACACTGCTGAATACGAACATGTTTCGGGACTCTTGTGCTTCCGTTGGAAAACACTAGGGATAGGGTCGTATATTCGTATGTCTATGCTTCTACGGTGGAATACACTAGGCATGGAATTATATATATATATATATATATATATATATATATATATATATATATATATATATATATATATATATATATATATATATTGTCAGACTTCTTCTTACTCGTCCATCAACCTGCTCCCTCATTCTTTTCTTCAGCGTACAAAAACTTCCAAAAAAAAAAAAAACAGCCAATGGTGCCTTCAAGAAAGAATCTCTCTGTAGCCGTGCTTCTAATAATTGTCATCTGGGCTGCCGGTATGTACATGCACATGTAAGAACTGTTGAAAATATAAGTCTCTCTCTTAATAACTAACTTAAGTTTTGACGTTCAATTAGCTGGTGTATGCAACTTAATATGTTGTTTTGATTAATCTTTTGGCTAATTAACCACGTTCTTGCATGTGCTAGTATGTTCAATGCCTGCTTGCACGCAGAGTGAATGCCGGCGCCTGAGCGCGGCAAGTATCATGGACCGTGCTTCGTCGACTACGCTTGCAATGATGCATGCTCTTTTGAAGAACCCGAGATCATTTATGGCGCTTGTGACGACTTCAAATGCTACTGCCATACATGCTGTGTTGCTGTTGCTAACGCTCTGCAATGATCCCAGCCTAGCGTTTCTTAAATATAAATTATCCCTTCATGGCTCTTATGTAATAATATATTTATATTTTTTAGATAAAGGATAAAATATCCGGCCTCATCTATCCAAAGATAGAATCAGGCTAATTATTACAAACTCCAGACGCGTTCACAAAGTACTGTTGCAGGCAAAACCACCAGTCTCGCAACTAACAGAACAAGTAAAAAGTTCTTGACTAAACAAAACCAACATGTCTTTGTGAAAGCCATCCATTAGAACCAAAGAATTCTATATTTTAAAAGGATGGGTTACTTTGCTAGTTAAACATAAAGTAAAGTGCACTACCGGTCCCTAAGCTTGTATCGCTATGTCATTTTGGTCTCTAAACTTGCAAAACTTTTGTCCAAATATCTAAACAATGTATGTTCATATTTCACTACAGTTTTATCGGGTCTCAGTATGTTAGGATAATTGAACTGGGGAAGGAAAAGGAAGACAGACTTAGGAAGAAGAAGCAGAGCACGGGGTTGGGTTCAGATGAATGATTATAGTTTGGTTTGTTCGGGTTCCATACATGTTGTCCGTCTCTGTGAGCATAGGTCCACATTTATACATCCGGTTAACTGGTGGGTTGTCCCAGCAGCACAGCTGCTTCTAGTACCTAGGGATCAAGCCCATTGAGGCCCAGTAGTACGAGTACTTGGAAGCTTGGCACGCTCACTCTTCCTCTGTGCTGTTGCCGAACGAGGTACCTCTGATGGGCCGTCTTCAGGCAATGCCGGTACAGTAGGTGCTGCCGTGACACTCCCCCTCCCATTAGGACCTGCTTGACCCCAAGCAGGAGCGTTGGGGAACCGTTGCTTGAGAGGCTCGAGATCTTCCCATGTAACTAAGGATGGATGAAGTCCAGACCATTTGATGAGGCCCTACAGAACCACAGCAGAAGAATCGCTGGAAGAAACACGGCGCTGAAGGACTTGTTTAGGAACCTGCAACCCAGTCAGCGAAGATGGAAGTTCAGCCACTTGATGCTTAACAGGTAATGCTTGCTTCAATTGTGAGACATGGAAAACTGGATGGATTTGTGAAGTTGGTGGAAGAAGGAGCCGGTATGCTACTGAACCAACTCGAGCTGCAATCTGGAAAGGACCAAAGAACTTGAATGACAACTTTTGATTTGCACGAGGAGCCAAAGAAGACTGGACATACGGTTGCAGCTTGAGATATACCCAATCACCAGTCAGCGAGTTCTTTCCAATCTCTTTTTGTCAGCTTGGTCTTTCATACGACACTGAGCACGTAGCAGATGCTGCTTGATAAAGTTTTGCATGACCAGTTTGTCTTCAAGCCAGTCAGTGAGCTCAACAGATGGGCATGCATCAATAGCATCAATGCCAAAGTATCGAGGAGAATAGCCATAGAGGACTTCAAATGGTGAACGATCCAGTGCCGAGTGCCAACTAGAGTTATACCAAAACTCAGCAAGATGAAGCCACTCAAACCATTTTACTGGAGTAGCATGAACAAAGCAGCGAAAAAAAGTTTCCATACATTGATTCACGCGCTCTGTTTGGCCATCCGTTTACGGATGGTATGCGGAGCTCATCTTCAGCTGGACATTAGCAAGCTTGAACAATTCCTGCCATAGAGTACTTAGAAATATTTTATCACGGTCTGAAATGATGGAAGATGGTAAACCGTGAAGGCGGTAGACTTGCTGCATAAAAATCTTAGCCACGCCCAGTGCTGTAAATGGATGCTTAAGGGCAAGAAAATGACTGAATTTGGAGAAGTGATCCACCACGACCAAGATACAATTGTACCCATGAGACTACGGAAGGCCTTCAACAAAGTCCATGGAGATAGACTGCCATGCAAAGGACGGTACGGGGAGTGGTTGCTGCAAGCCTGGATAGCAAGACCGATCAGGCTTGGACTGCTGACAAGTAGGACAAGTGGTGACGAAGTGATGCACATCAGATTTCATTCCGGTCTAGGCAAACAGCTGACGGGCACGACGACAAGTAACCGGAACAACCGAATGTCCACCGACTGCTGATGTATGCAGTGCCTGTATCACTTGAGCTTGCAATTTCTTGTTGTTACCGAGCCAGATGCGATCTTTGTAGCGGAGAAGCCCATTCTGAAGAGTGAAATTGGGAACCGCAGATGGGTCCACAGCCAATTGTGTTGTATAAAGCTGTGCCTGAGGATCAGAAGAGTAGCCGGCCACAATTTCAGCACACCACTGTGGGATTGCAGAAGACATGGCAAAACATGATTCTGGAGCATGTGGTCGGCGAGATAAAGCATCAGCTACACGATTGTCAACCCCTTTCTTGTAGATGATCCGATATTGTAACCCAAGAAGCTTGGTAAAAACTTTCTGTTGTCAAACAGTATTCAGGCGCTGTTCGTTGAGGTGTATCAAGCTTTTCTGATCAGTAAAAATGAGGAACTCAGCTAGCTATAAATAGGATCTCCATTGCTCTACTGCCAATAAGATGGCCATGTACTCTTTCTCATAGGTGGACAGACCTTGAGTACGTGGACCCAATGGTTTACTGATGAATGCCAAGGGATGCCCTTGCTGCAGAAGAACAGCACCGACACCATTGTTAGATGCATCTGTTTCAATCGCAAATGGTTTAGTGAAGTCTGGAATAGCCAGGACTGGGGCCGAGCTCATGGCTTGCTTCAAGGTATCAAAAGCTAGCTAATGATCAGATGTCCAAACAAAATAGGTGCCCTTTTTTAGCAAATTAGTTAATGGCTTGGCAATCACAGCAAAGTGTCTGATGAACTTCCTATAAAAACCAGCCAAATCCAGAAAACTGCGAAGTTCACTCACATTAGAGGGGGTTGGCCATGTAACAATGGCTTCAACCTTAGCAGGATCCATGGCAATGCCCTCTGGGCTGATAATGTGGCCAAGATATGACAGCTTTTGTTGAGCAAAGCGACACTTGGACAATTTGATGTGCCAATGCTCTGACTGCAGAAGCTCAAACACCTTCCTGAGATCAATCAAATGCTGCTCATAAGTTGGACTGAAAACTAAAATGTCATCAAAGAATACTATAACACACTTGCGGAGAAGGGGTGCCAAAGTCAAATTCATGGCCTGCTAGAAAGTGTTTGGAGCTCCAGTGAGACCAAACGCCATGACCTTAAACTCAAAGTGACCGGAGTGAGTGGAGAATGTTGTCTTGTGTTCCTCACCCTCCTTGAGTCTGACTTGATGATAGCCAGCAAATAGATCCAAGATAAAAAACCAGCGAGCTCCAGATAATTCATCCATGAGTTGGTCAAAAACAGGTATAGGAAAAGTGCCCTTGACTGTAAGATCATTCAAGTATCGATAGTCAACACAAAAACACCAAGATCCGTCTTTCTTTCGCACCAACAACACTGGAGATGAGAAGGAAGAGCTGCTGGGCTGGATTAGACCTTGCTGAAGCATTTGTGAGACTTGGGCTTCTATTTCATCTTTAAGTGCTGGTGGATATCGATAGGGCCTGATGTTGACTGGTCTAGCCCCTTGAACCAATGGAATGGTATGGTCATATGGCCTGACTGGAGGAAGTTCAGAAGGTGGATCATACACTGATTTAAAGTCTTGCAGGAGCTGTACTATATCAGCTGGTAACTGGGATGCCTCAGAATTAGCTCGAATCCCCGACTGAATTGACAACAGTTAAAAAACCATGTCAGAAGACTACAATTCAGGAGAGCCATGTAATACAACAGTGGAAGCCCCCATAGGAATTTGCATCCATTTGTTCTTCCAATCCACCCTCATTGGACTGAACTTCTTGAGCCAATCCATTCCAACAACAATATCATAAGAGCTTAATGGCAGAAGTTTCAGAGAATGAGTGAAAGAATGAGCAACCATAGACCAACCACAATTCTCAGCAATAGCAGAACACTATAAGATATCACCATTTGTGACCTGTACTCTATAACTGGCTGGGCTCAAAGAAACAGACTGCAGCTTATCAGCAACATGAGTACTGAGAAAGGATGTAGTACTGCCTGAATCAACAAGAACGACAATGGGCATATCCTGAATAAAGCCAGCAAACTGCATGGTGCGAGGACCAGCAACTCCAAAAATAGATTCTTGCGAAATGACAAGGAACATTTGCCCTTCGGCAGGTGACGCATCATCAGGTTTAGTAATGGCTTCAGTGAGAGCAAAGAGTTCCAGTACCTCTTGCATGGCGTGTAGGTGAACAGTAGCCGCACACTTGTGGTCACGCGACCATTTCTCTGCACACTTATCACAGAGACCTCGTGCTCGACGATAGTTGCGGAGCGCTCGGAGCTTATCACGGAGACCCAATTTTAAGGATAAAATGCATAAAATTCATGTGTGCCCAGGGATCAGTCACACACATAAGTCGACAAATTACATAAAGTATTATCACGGTGTTTCTTACATCACGATTAATACCAACATATAGTCTTACACAACATAGCGGAAAATAAAAGATAACTCTCTCTCGTGGTAGCTCCAACATAGGGACGGTCAACTGGTTGACCACAAGCCTAAAAGTCCTCTGGGAACTCCTCATATCCCGTTGACATCTGTTACCCATCCGGGATTTTTATCCAAATATTGAAAGTAAACAAGCGTAAGTACTTCCCGTACTTAACAAGTTAACATGGGGTTATGAAAGCTCAAAAAGGATGACACTGGTTTACTGCAGTTAGCACTTTTAGTAGGTCAAAATTTTATCATCAACTATTATCAAGTTATGCTTAAGCCCCAATTAAACCCACATGATCAGGTATCAAAATCAATTGTATCATATTATCATCGTCGAACATCATAAATGAACAACAATAAATAACCAGTTATTCTGTGAGTTTTCCGGGCCGCTCGTGACCGTGAGCACGGCTGTTATAATAGTTTGTAACCCCTACAGAGGTTGTGCACATTCACCGTGAGTTGTGTTTCCCCTATGCCCGGGTTAATTACTCCCATATCACTGCCTAGGTGAGCGGGTGGGGTACACTATGAAGCCATTTCATAGGTTTCTCTAACAAGTTAGGGCCACTAGGTTTCCTCGGCAAGCAGATGTAGGAACCCCCCTTTCCTATGGCACAAATCCTTCGCGGCTATACACATAAGAACAGGGGCAGTCCTATACCCAACGTGGCAAGCCCCATTTGCGCCATAAAGGTAACCTCTAACAAGCTAGAAAAGGTCCTATTACTGAGCTAAAGTCAGAGCCATGTGACTCTCACGGTTGCACTGTCAGTCCCAGCTTTTGCCGACAGATAAGTCCTTATGGAGGGCCGAGAGCATCATGATCGAAAGGCATTAGCTTCTTCGCCCTATAATTCAGTTGTTTAAAAGCAAATTTTACCTTTTCGTTCCATAGAACCATTATTCATTATTTGGATCATGTACATTTACATTGAGCACTAGCAAACTACCCATATGCATATAACCCATAGGAGACAAGGAAATAGGATAATCAATCACTAGGATGTCTTTACGGTTATCAAAATTAGACACATGCAAATGAGTAATTAATAAATGGTGAATAGGACATCAAGGTAGATCCCATGCTATACTTGCCTTGGTTAGCAAACTCCTGCTGGTCTTGCTGGTCCTCAAAGAACTCTTGGTCACCAACGTTCTCCTCACCGTCTGAACACGACCAACATGGCAACATACAACATTTCAGGAACATTCATGCAAAGCAAACAATCATATAGTTAGAACAGTACACCAACAGTATAGAAAACAAATTAAAATGTTTATGAAAATAATCTATGTCTCGCTACGACCACGTCAACGCAAAGTTCACGAAAATCGGAGCTAAAACGTGAAAGTTATGAATTAAACGGGGTTTCCTATAGTAAATTAATTAAGTAAACCTAACCCTGAAATTTAAAAGCTGCAAACATTATTAACAGTGGTTCTAACATGTAGATTATGCAATTACAAAACTAACGCAATTTGAACAGGTCGATTCGGAGCTAAAACAAAGTTTTTATGATCAAAACAAATCCAGTGGCATTTCTGTAATTAGAAAGAACTATTTTCGGATTTAAAATAAATGAAAAGGATATTCGGATTTATTCGACTGAGGGACGGCGGGCATAATTTGCTAAAAACCGAGGGACTCTTTAGCAATTTTGCCACGGCGAAGGGGTATCGGCCACCCAGGGCCGTTGATCAAGCGGTGGACGGCTCGGATTAGAGAGGGGGGAGAGAGAAGGAAGCTGGCGGCCGAAAGAGTGGCGGCCGCGGCGGGGCACCATGGTCGGCGGCGAGGAACTCTCCGGTGCACGCGGATCATGGCCTACAGGCCACGGTTCGACGAACTGAGGACACCGGGGGATAGAGGGGGTGTGGGCGAACTCGCCTAGGCCAAGAGAGCGGCCGGAGGACGCTGCCGAGGCGGTGGTCGCCATGGCCGGAGGCATGGAGCTCACGGGCGCATGCGAAACGGGCTCTAGAGGCCAAGAAACATGGAATTAAAGGTATGGGGAGAACGAGGGGAGCAAGGGGGTCTCACCGTGGAGGAAAACGAGGATGGAGGCGGCTCGGGGACGACGGACCGGGCGGAGGGGCAGATGGCGGACCTCGGCGTCCTTCGGTGTGGCGGTTGTGGCTTCCTCGTGCACGGGTGAACGCGAAAATGGAGCGGGGAGGCAGCAGAGAGAGCAGCGGAGGGTCTGGACTCCCTTTTGTAGAGGCCAGGGTGCGGCGGGGGGCGCGCTCCCACGACGCGAGACGTGGGCGCGGAGGCTGTTGCGGCATGACTGGCGCGGGGCGGGGGGAGGAGGGGGACGGTGCTGGCAAGCGGGCCCAAGCTATCAGTGGTAGAGCAGGTGGGGGAGGGAGCGGCAGCGGTTGCGCCCGAGCTGGGCCGGCCCAGGAAGGAAGGGGAGGAGGGGGGAAGGGGGAAGGCGAGCGGGCCGGTGGGAGAATGGGCCAGTAGGCCAAATTGAAGAAGGGAAGGGGAGGGAAAAGTATTTCCTTTTCTTTTTCCAAATAAAATTTCCAATTCCATTTCCAAATGATTTTTGGATCCTTTTGAATTTAAATCAAAACCACTCAACATATTAAATACAATGCTCCAGCATGAGTGCATCAACATGTGTATATCCTTATGATTGATTTTAATTTCACAAAAAATATTATTTTCCTATATTTGAATGCACACATAATTGCATAAATAATTCAAATTTACTATTTTAAAATAATGCAAATTTTAGGGTGTTACACTTGTGGAACCATCGTCTTGCATGATTGATACCACGTGTAGATGTGATGCCACTCGAAAGAATTTTCTAGTATGGAACCACTTATTGGATTTATCAATAAAAACTATTTCTTGAACCTTTGCTATCTTCACGAGTATCACTTATAGGATATCACTTGTGAGTTCTTGATGAAATAGTCTAGATACCACTTGAAACAAACAATACTAGATATCCATTTGCATTGTTGTCTTATGCTTGTACTTTTGTTACTTATCATCAGCTTGTAAGTTGACTTGAACTAAATTGATTTGCCTAAGCTTCCAAGTCCGGTTTGAACCAATGACAAGCTTCTTCACACCTCTTACAAGGGTTATCTTGCCAATTTTGTACTTGTCACTTGTTAGCAATCCAAATTAAATCAAGTACTTCGGTTCACTAGCTTATGAACAAATTCATATACTAACCACTAGATTAACTAATCATTCAAGCAATAATGGTAGGCTATGAATTTAAATATTTCATTTGTTATGCATGATCCTATGAAGCATGTACTATATGCACTAGTCGCATACTTAGTAAGGGATGAATTGATCATGCATATTACAATGATGCCTTTGCTATGTTGGAGTAGAGGATAGTCACATAGATTCCAATTCATTACTCCAATAGCAATGTGAAGTCCAATTATAAGCTTGGTGAAGACCAATCATGAATAATGAAATCTATTCTTCACCCATATGATTTGAGAACTATTAATATGATCAAGTGCACTATCTTGTTGTGGTTAGCTTGCTTCATCATTTGATCAATGCTTGCATGAGAGAACTATTTGGAATACCACTTGAATTGCCACGACTAGCTCTCTTTTGGGTGTTGCTTGCTTTTCTTGATCAACCCTTTTGATTGCTTCAACTATGCATCTCAAATGTCCCCGGATCACCACTTCCATGTTAGCCTTTCAAGTACCACACTTGGTTTATCTACACATAGGCTGCACTCCCCTACACTAGGGAGAAGTGACCTCTCTCCAAGAACTATTCTTGACACTCACTTGAAATATCTTGATTGATTGATCCAAGTGAAGGACTTAACTTGATGAGTAACCTTGATTCCTTCTTTAATTCCTTTCCTTTCTACCAAATGATTTCCAATAGTCACTAGAACTTAAACTTCATCTTCATCTTAAGTTTGATCTTGATCTTTCAATTTAAGTACCAAATGTGTGGAAAGTACACTCCACAATTAAATTGCCTTGTATTCTTTGCTTGTCATGCTTCTAGATTATCTCAAAATCAAACTTAGGTGTCTCAATTACTTATAAACATGTTTCCAACTTGAGGACCTTTCAATCAAAGTGACTCCCAATAAATCCAATAATTGTCACTTTTCTGGCAGATTCTGTACCGTTCAAATAAAAATGCATATCTCCCAAAGTACAAATCTAAATACCATGAAATTTGGTGGAGATGTGCTTCACTAAGTTATCTAGAAGCTGTAAAATTTGAGCTTCATTTGACTTTTATATTGCTACTAGATTTCAATTCTTCCACCACTGTTATATGCTGAAAACTGCTGCACTATAGCTGACACGATCCACTCCAAAACCGAAGCATCTTTAATCCAATTCTCATGAAATTTTGTATAGCATCTTATACCATAAGTCTAGAGCATGTACACCAATTTTTATGCCAATTCAATAAGTTTTGATCACTCGAACATGGCTAAGATCATAGCTAGCTCAGATTTTGCAATATAGGACATATTTCAACTATTGAGCTATACTTCATCAAATGTGAATCAAACTTGAAACTAACTTGTTTGAATACTCCCACAAGACATATATCCATTCAATCCACTTACTAAAAGTCATCTCATGAGTTTATTCAACACAAATCAATCCAAACTTGATTACTAAGCAATTATCCATTCAATCATCTTATAGCAAGCAATATTGCATATTCATCCAATTCAATCAACTCATATGCACCCAAATGA